TTTTAAAACATTAAAAAATGTGAGAAGTGCTCCTTCTAAGAACACCATTAAGCGTTTATACGAAAAATTTTCAACTGGTAAGGCTCTTTCTAATCCGAAGTGGCCATATAAAAGTCGACCAAGGCGATCGGCCGAGAATATCGCTGCCGTACGAGCCAGTGTTGAGAGGTCCCCAAGAACATCCCAAAAACGCCGTTCTCAGCAGTTGGGCATGGCTCGGTCCACTTTACAACGGATAATTTGCATTGATTTGCATTTGTTCCCGTACAAAATTCAATTGACGCAAAGAATGTTGCCTGCGGACAAGCCTCGTCGATTGGAATGGGCCCAAAAAAAAAAACATGGGTCCGTCGAATATGGGCAACCGTGTATACAAGTATCAAGTTAATTTTATACATTTGGAATCCAAGCGAGATACAAAAATTTATTGAAAGAGCTTTTGTTAACACAATTATCGACTAGAGTGTCAAAATTCTCACCTCCTTTCCATTGAATTATATGTCCTTACGTTGGGCGCCATATATTCATGTGTCGAAGAATTTTTTTCAGGATAACCATAAAATTTTATACTGCGCTTTATCTGGCACGTTTCTCACTTTGGGCGCCATTTAATCTATTCAAATGTCAACTTCTTGTGTTAAAGTATAAAAGCTGGAAACAGTTACTTTGTTACAAGACAGATATTTATCGATTCAATTATCGACTTAAGTGAACACCTTTCAATCCATCTTCGTTGGTTTATATGTCCCCACGTTGGGCGCCATTTAACGTATGTCGACAAAGTTTGTTGAAAATAATCACACAATTTTGCATTGAACTTTTGATATGATACCATAGTACACTTGTTCTGGCACGTACTCATTGAGTATGTTATTCTATTAAATAAAACTGTGCCCGGTTTTCAATGACCACCAACGAATTTATTTATTTTAAATTCCATAATTTTATCAGTTTTACTATGGTAATTGAAATCGCAGTGATGTCAATGTACGAACAAACTCCTAACTAAAATTAGAACTATTATTCGGAAATTGCATATCTTTGTTTGTAATCTAATCATAGAACAATTTTTTTTCTTATAATCAGTATTTTTAAACAAATCTACATATCATCATATACATATATATACATGTTCCCAAACAAAGTATAGCAAGATTTTCAAAGTGCATTAAAACTTGCCTAATTATCGCAATTTATTATTGCTTTTGTTGTGGCGGCTGACCATTGAACTGCTGGTGTGATTTGTGTTAATAATTTATTGCTGTGTAATTTTCAGAAAAACACAAATGTATGAAATTATTTTTCATATTAGCATATTTATGGGGTCAGCAGCGTAGTCAGGAAATGGATCAATGGATGGTTGAGACACAATCTGCCTCATCAACGTCCCCAACGCGGCTGAAGCTGGAATATTCACATGTCGCATTGAATACAGTTTCTCTTTATAGTGAAATGAACCAAATGTCTTAAATAATAGGATATATTCGATTTGTGACCCCTCGAAAAGTTACCCATCAACAATCCTCGGTTAGGTGTTTGAACTTGGGATATTTGGTCATACCACGCACTCAGCCACTGTTACGAACATTAATTGTATTTTTTTAACGACTTATACAAGGTTGCCCATATTCGACCTTTGGGCCCATTCCATCGACGAGGCTTGTTCGCAGGCAACATTCTTTGGGTCAATTAAATTTTGTACGGGAACAAATGCAAATCAATGCGAATAATCCGTTGTAAAGTGGACCAAGCCATGCCCAACTGCTGAAAACGGCGTTTTTGGTATGTTCTTGGGGACCTCTCAACACTGGCTCTTACGGCAGCGATATTCTCGGCCGATCGCCTTGGTCGACTTTTATATGGTCTCTTCGGATTAGAAAAAGCCTTACCAGTCGAAAATTTTTCGTATAAACGCTTAATGGTGTTCTTAGAAGGCGCACTTCTCACATTTTTTAATGTTTTAAAAGCACGTTGAGTTTTCACAATTGACTTCTTCTGTTGAATGTAAATTTCAACTATTTCAGAGCGCTCGTGTGTTGGTTCATGGTAAAAATCTGCTTGGACTGACGCTTCAAACGCGGTATGTCATTAAGCGATGTGACATCTCTGTCAAAAGTTATGGCGTTGCCAGATGGGTCCGTCGAATATGGGCAACCCTGTATGTGCGACAGCCAACTCTTCGTACTTCTATATTTTTTTTTTGGCATTTGTTTTATTGTCGCTGAGGTTCAACCCTTAGGTACAGAAATGCGACATTTTTGGATTGTGTAGGATGCAGAAGGTATGCAGTTGTCCTTACTAGTATTGTTGAAAGTAACACATGTGCTTATCATATTTTTATTTGTTATTCTTGATCAGCATGAAATTCTATGTCGATTTAGCGATGTCCGTCCGTCTACAGTCTATCCGTCTGTGGAAATCACTCTAGCTTCCGAACGAAATGAAGTAGGTTGATAAAATTTTACTGTATTATGTCTGCAGGACTTTTGGTATTAAAAATGGGTGATGTAGGTTCACGTTTTGGTATAACCCCTATATAATGGTAACTCTCTTTTTTCGGTATTTTGGTGATTTAAGCGACATTTTTCAACGGAATTGTTTCAAATTTGGTATTTGAAGTTCGTAACGGATGCTACAGCCTATGAAAAAAAATTGTCTGTGCAAGTCCACGTCTTCATATAGCACCCATATAACGGTACCTCCCGATATTCCGTACTTTGATGATTTTAGCGACATTATTCACCGGAAATGTTTCAAATTTGGTATTTGAAGTTCATTCGTCTACGTCTTCGTATAGCCCCAATATAACGGTACCTCCCTTTTTTCGGTATTTTGATGATTTTAGCTACATTATTCCCCGAATTTTTTATTCAAGTTTCGCATTTGAATATTGTAATGGTTTATGACAAAAGTTGCCTATGCAGGTTCACGTCGTCGTATAGACCCTAATATAACGGCTACAATCGGTATTTTTAAGAATTTTAAACGGATTTTATTTTTTTGAAAATTGCCAAAATCGCTCCAGATGGTGGAGGGAATTCAAAAGATCGGCTAGGTCGAACTTAGAGCTTTTAGTAAAAACGTTTAGATTCTTGCAGTTTTGAAATTTGGAGTTTAGTATTGTTAGGATATAATTTTTTTAAACATCCTCAAAAAATATTAAATGGTGGCCCAGTATTTGTAATAAACCCCCATTTAACACTTGAACCCAGTCTTGTCCTGGGTAAAATTTTCGAATAAAACGACTAGCATTTTTGAACATACAACACTGTGTGCTGGACTAAGTGTTTGATTGGACTGAGATATTTGACACACCTCGAAAAATTTATCCTAGTCGCACCATGTCTTTCTATCTGGCTGATCTGAGTCGATCTAGCTATGTGTACCCGTCCGGCTGTTCTTCTGTCCATGTCCATAATTTCAGTTATCACTCTACAGGTCGCGTCCTCAGGAAGTTTTGCCTGAAGTTAGGGTTAGGATCAGAATAGAAACCTATTGCTTTCGGAGATGATCGCAAAACATTTAGGTATAAATGGACAAAACATTAAAAGTTTCCTGATTTTTCCGCAGTCCTGAAGGTCACAATTATAGACCAATCGACATGTAATTTTGCGTGCGGTTAGAGTTTGAAAAAGGACAGAAGCGTGTCATTTTGGATAATAATCAGATAATATTAAGAGGATAAGATCGATTCTTAACTTTTGTAATTTTTGGAGATCGTAAGATTTATTTCTAAAGATATTGTGATTACAACAGACAGACAGACAGACGGACATCGCTAAATCGGCTTAGAATTTTACGCTGATCCAGAATATAAACTTTGTAGAGTCTGCCATGAGTATTTTGAGAAGTTACAAACAGAAAATTAAAGTTAATATAACCTCCATAGAATGGTGGAGGATATAGAAACATACAAAGCGAAGAAGAAAGTCGGATGAAACTTCCAATTTCGGACGCGTACTTCTTTCCGATGGTTGATGTGTTCTCAAACCGAAAAGTCGGATGAAAGTCAGAATTTTAGACGACTTTCAAATCGAATTCAGGCCAAACTTACACGGATATTCATGGAAAATTTGGTTTGCTTGGTTCATACAAATAAAAAGTAAAGGTGAGATGACCTCCTCTGGCGACTTTCTCCAATACTGGAGTTGATTTGCTGTCTATCTTGTCACTTCAGTCAATTACGATAGGTGGTACTCCTGAATGTTATAGGGTTTTTTGCATGGATTCAAATTTCGAGTAATTGAAGACAAACTTTTGAATAATTATAACTCTTATAAAACAAGAAATAAGCATCCGACTCTCTTCAAATTTCAGGCATTCCACTATTTTTATTACCGCAAGATCTGTTGTAAAGAAGTAAAAATATATCGGTCCACTCTTTCTGGTACCACCCCCTCAAAGGGGTCAACATTTTGAATAACTATGAAGCTCATAAAAAGCACATACCAATATTTTTATTAAGACATAATCACGATGTGAAGATGGAATATGTCAGACTACTTTTGGTACCTCCCCCACAACGGGTCAAAATTTTGAATAATTATATATCTCATAAAATTCAAAATAACATCCGATTCTCTTAAAATTCTTCAAATCGTAATATTTTTATCAACACAAGATAGAATATATCGGGCCACTCCTTCCTGTACCTCCCCACAAAGGATCAACATTTTGAATAACCATTAAGGTCATACAATTCGAAATAAGCATCCGATGCATTCTAAACTTCACACATTTTAATATTTCTACTAAGGCGAAATATCCTTATCGAAATATCACTCCTTCTGCTACCTCCCCCATAAAGGGTCAACATTTTGAATAACGAAAACGCTCATAACTGCGAAGTAAGCATCCGTTTCCTTTCAAAATTCACACATACCAATATTTCTATTTCCATATCATCTGGTGTGAATATAATAGATATTGATCCACCCGCCCAAAACCCAAATATCCTTATTTTTAATTTAATTTTTTTATCCTCCCCTTTTTATTTTCAGTTAAAATCCCAACCATACACAGAGCTTCAACATGACAGTTCAAAGTAAAATGGTGTCACTTTGTACCTGCAAAGATTTTCAACATTGCTGGACGGATAAATGTGTCAATGCGACGGCTGGTATTATATTGGCCGCCACACCCTATTGCCTTAGAGTTTATACCATGGTTTATGCGGTAAGCAAAACGAAAACGCCTTCCTCAATTTTCCCTTTTTACTAATAATCGAAGTATTATTCTTCCAGCTTTCTCTCGTTATGCGTGGTAAAATTCCCACTTTGGATGATTTGAAGAAAACAGTCCGGGGCATTTTACAGTCCACAGCCTTTTTGGTGACAAATGCCTATGGCTTTATTATGTACAATTGTCTGATGCGTCATCTTATGGGTTATTATACAACGGCGAGTGTGGCATTTTTGCCTTGTTTCTTGGCCAGTTTAATGGCCATTGTTGTGGAGAGGGAGCCGAGAAGGCCAATGTTGGCATTGTATGTGGCAAATGTGGGCACTGAGACCCTGTGGAATATGGCTGAGGCCCGTGGTTGGGTGAAATCCATACCAAATGGCCAGGTTCTCTTGTTTGGAGCCAGTATTTCGGCATTACTGTATTTGTATAAATTGGGTCTACACAAAACCACCTGCAAAGATTCGCTATTTGGTCTACTGAAAATATTTGTGGGTAAAGCCGAGGAAGGTCCAGCAACCAAAGAGAGTATAGAGGGTAATCCTGCTGCTCCCACAACGCAGCAAAGATCCCGTCCTCCAATAAATTTTGCCACCATCAATGGTTGGGTGCAAGCCTATTCGAGGTTTATTGAAAAACTGAAAGGTAAACATGAAACCTGTAATCACAAAGAAAGCTGTGTTCACTATTCCATTATGGGTGGCCTCAAACCATTGGTGGGTGGTATCGGTGTCCAGGTTGCCTTGAAACTTTTGTTGAATATCAAAAAGGTGGCCCAAAATAAATTGGACTGGCGAAAAACGGTGTTCACCAAGAAGACATTGAATTTGGGTCTGTTTTTGGGTGCTTTCTCATTCCTATTTAAGGTAAGGCCGGTGGAGGAGAGAGGATGTTCTAAAATCGTTTGGAAATTTATTTGAATTATTTTTGTGTTAATTTTCCAGTCTGTTTCTTGTGGCCTTAGACATGGTTTTAATCGTGACGATCCCAGATTTGCCTTACCAGCTGGTCTAATTGCCAGTACAAGCTTCCTTTACTATCCCGACAAAACAGTAGCTTTATACGTTATGTGGAAAACACTACAGGTAAGGTGGAACGCCTTTTCATATTATTTCACATGAAAATAAATATTTTGCGCCCATGACAAAATCCATATAGAATTCTATCTATAACCCACTTTCGGGTTTTAACCCATATTATTTCCTCACAGATTGTCTACAATTTGGGTATTGAAAAGAAGAAGGTACCCAAGGTCCCCGGTTTTACGATAATGTTATATGCCTTCTGCACAGCGGTACTTTTCCATGCTGGCATCTTGGAACCCAAAACATTGAGACCTAGCTACTACAAATTCCTGCAAGATATTTCCGGTGGAAGGTAAGCAAAGATTCTCCCCTCAAAATATATGAATATGTAATGATATTTTCCTTCCCTCCAGATTTAATCACTTCAACATGAAACCTCTGGATGTCTTTGGCTTGGATACCGCCCGACAAACGGAAGAAGTTTTGATTAGTCTAAAACTAACCGATAGATCCAAATTGCCCATGTTTGCCTTGGCCGATTGGTAGTAGAGAAATCAAGAATTTACTTCTTATGAACTAGTTGTTTTTTTTTTTTGTATCTAATGTAAATATATAGGAATTGTGTAACGGGTGTTTGTACAAAAATTGTAATTGTGATGTGAACGAGTGATGTGAGAATACCAAAGGATATATAGCCTTTGATATCTTTTGTGTTTATCTAACTACCTAAATGTATAATAGTATAGTTTATTATTTTTTTAATTTTTGTATTTTGTGGCGCTAATGAGAAGCAATGAATCGTTAATTTCTTCTTTTGCAAGAAATTTTAAAATGATTTCCATCCTATTATTCTTTCATTCTAATATAATGAATTTAAATATTTTAAATAGTTAATATTGTTTTAATAAGGAAATAAATATATAATGTTTAATTGTCACGAGAGTGCTATTTGAATTTTGAACTGTTAACAGGTTATAACATTATTTATAAATATAAATATATATTTTTGTACTTCCAGAAAATAATAAAAGGAAAATGAAAGAAGATGTGATTTTTAATGAAACGCCTTTTTGAAGATAACATTGAGTTTGCTTGAAAACAATCAATTTTTGATCTCAATAAATATTATCAAGAAATCGTCGCTAAAGGCTTGGAAGAAAAATATTGAATGAATGATGTACTTCCGCTATTTAAGGCGGAGAACTGAAAAGAGATGAAAATAATACGTTAAATAGATTAGATCTCATATTCGCTTCTTATCTCCTCTACAGGAAAATTGGGTTAAAAGAAACTTCACTCCTTTATACATAGAAATATTGTTAAAGAGAGGACATAATCAACTATAAACAAATTAGTTCATGCCCAATGCATATTTACAACCCGAAAAAAAACCTTAGAGTATATGGTAGCAAATCCAAAACCATTCAACTGGACAATATAAGGATTTTTGACTACCTCCTTATAACACCAGTGGACCACGTACAGTAGGAGACTCAAATTCTTCCCGTACGTCAACATAAACCCATACCATGGTAGAAGAATACAGGTAGATGCACCAGCGCTTGGAAACATTGATATGTCAAAATTTTTTGAATGTTTATGCTTTTTTAAACGACGTCATTCGGAGGTTATTATAATACGTGTTTTTCAACAATTTTTACAAATTTTAATAATTTTTCATTTAACATTTTCAATTCTAAAATTGATTTGACAGTTCATTGTCCCACCAGCTGTGTCGATGCGTCTACCTATATTTTTCTACCATGCCCCATACATTTGTTGTACTGCCCGCTTCGCTATTGCAGTGGTATAAAGAAGCACACGTTCCACAGAGGAAGGTCGAACGATGTTTTAACTCACACGGGTTCAAAATGAGAATAACGTTCAGAACTACAGGATCGCTAACCAGACTACATCTATTCGATTTTATCGCCAAACGTACACAACATACGACCGAAGACCTTGGACTATTACCTATCAAATACTTAACTTCCTCCTAAAAGTATGCTATATAATTTTGTAGTTTTAAACACACAACTCAAATTAATACCATCTCCGTCATGATTTGTGCTATATTATTCTGTTCGGATCTTCTTAGTGCAATAAATGTATTTATGACTGCTACAATCTTAGGCACTGTAAAGAAGCGGACATCATAAGACCAATAAGTCTCTTCGTCCACCGCCCACCATACCATGAAGAATATATTAAATTTGTAATTCCATTTGTAACTCATCGAAATAATAATTTTAGAACTAATAATGTATATATATTTTTTATCCGACTGTATTAATTAAGCTGACCCCAACCGTCTTGTGATATAAAGCAAATACCTTGCAGTGAGCTGTCATTTATATGCAGGAAGGTTACGTTTGAAGAGGGACTACGTCATTCCACCATATCACTCGGTGATTTTCAACGAAGAGAAAACATTCGTTGTCCAGCAGTTTGTAAACAAACAAAACGATCTTGTTTACTTGCCAAAGAGGTCAGCTAAATATGTGACCTTCGGTTGGTCACCAGAACTCAATCGCCGGCCATGACAATGCTGTGGGCCGCCATAACAGCCGATGGTCCCTCTCCGCTCGTATTAATCGACCGTCATAAGAAAAAATGCCGAATATTATCGCGCAAATATTTTGGAGGGTGTATTAAAGCCTTGGACACGCAAACATTTTGGCCGCAGACCTTGGACATTCCAACAGGACTCAGCACGCACCACCAAAAAATAGTTACAAAATGAGGTTCTTCGCTTCATTTCCAGCGTACAATGGACACCAAAATCTCCGGATACCAATCCGTTGGAGTTTTGTGTCTGGAGTATTTTGGAAAGCAAGGTTGGCACTAAAAAATATCAAAGTGTCGATCACCTCAAGCAAGCGCTTCGCCGGGAATGGGCCAAAATACCGCCAAATTGGCCTAGTAAGAAGAAGCAAAAGAAAACTCCCTATTAGTGTGTCCTCTCCTCATTTGGCAAGTTTTGCTAGCATTTCTTGTACGGGAACGGCGATCGGTAAAAATAGGGCAACATAGTACCCATGGTACAATAAATTAAAGGTAACCTCATTTAAAATTAGCATTTCCAAATCTGCATTTTCTGTAATTTACCTTGTCAAATTTTAATGCATAAATAACAGTTTCGATCTCTGATCTTGTGTGTATACAATGGATTTGTAAATAAGAATTTTGACAATGATATGTTGTCAAATTTATAAATTTGAAAAAAAAAAAAATTGTAAACATGTGATTACATAAATTTACCTTCTTAGTTGTACCATGATAGTACCGTATTGCAGGTTCTGTGCTTGAATTTATTATTTTGAAACATCGAAAGATATTAACCAGTTTTGCCATAGCATTAAAATATTGAATAGTTTGAATCATAATTTTAAAAGAAAATCCAGACATTTCATTCATCTTTCTTGCTTTTTAATTCATTTTTAAAATGAGGAAGAATCTCAAATAAATGAAAACAGGTTGTTGAATCTAATTTTGAATAATTCTGTCAAGTTGGGAGCATAGTCTCAGGGATGTATTTCAATAGGTTTACGAGTCTATTTTACCTGCTTATTGGCTATTTTACCTCTGAATGTTATGACTAGCTAATTTCAACATTAGTATGGATAGATGTGCAGGCAAAAACTTCTTCTGAGCAAAAGAAAGATTTGAGTAGCTGGACTAAATATCGTAATTCCGTATAGCGACACTTGTGAAAATGTGAACTCAAGTGCAATGTCTTGGTGAAGTTTTTTCTTTGTTATACCCTACACCACAAGGTGGTCAGGGTATTATGACTTTGTGCATTTGTTTGTAACAGGCAAAAGGAAACGAGATAGACCCATAGTTCCTTTTGATGATCTGCATAGAATCACATTCTGAGTCGATGCATGTCCGTCCGTCCGTCTGTCAATGTATTTTTGTAAACAAAGTACAGTTCGCATTTATTGCCCTATCCAGATGAAATTTTGCACAAATCATTTGTTTGGCCCAAGGACGAACCCTATTGAAATTGGAGATAATCGGTAAAAATTTAGATATAGCTCCCATATATATCTTCGTCCGATTTTCCTTTTATTGTGCACCAAACGTGTAATATCAGCCCGAATAGTATGGAATTTTGCACATACAACCAAATTAGGCCTGAAAAAAAGTATGCCAAATTTGATAGAAATCGGTTCAGATATAGCTATAGCTCCCATATATATTGTTCATCCGATTTGTTATTTTTGTCCTCTGCAGTCGTAATATGCATTCTGTAACAACAATATTTGGGGAAATATATCAAGTGCAGCTAAGAAATACCTTTGCTAAATTTTATCGAGATCGGTTCAGATTTGAATATAGCTCTCATATATAACTTCGTCCGATTTACCTTGTATTGTGGTCCAAACGTCTAATATTTGCCCAAATTGGATGAAATTTGGCACTTACGACCGAATTGAAGCTAGTATGTCAAATTTGGTGAAGATTGGTTCAGATATAGCTATAGCTCCCATATATACTGTTCATCCGATTTGTCATATTTGTTACCCACAGCCTTAATATGCACTCCGTAACAACGATATTCAGGGAAATATATCAAATACAGCTCAGAAATATCTTTGCCAAATTTTATCGAGATCGGTTTAGATTTGGATATAGGTCCCATATATATATCAAATGGGCAATATAAGTCCGAATTCAAAAGATACAAATGCTTCGGCATATTTAGTTCTTTGAACTTTAAATTATAACTATAATCATAGCGTTTATGATTGAATTCTCCAATAAAAACTTTTAATTGTTATGCGCAGCTCTACTAAATTAGTAAAGTGGTGTAGGGTATTATAAAGTCGGCCCCGCCCGACTTTAAGACTTTCTTTACTGGTTTAACTATTTAACATCGACGCCTTCGACGAAGATACCTCATTTACATGATCGGTATCAGTTAGGCTTAAGCATAGCAATCTATCGAGTTCATAGTTTTCAACTAACAATGTAATATATTTGCATTTAAATTCCTGAGAGCACGTTTTAGCACTCAATCACTTTGTTTTCACGTTTTTTTTTTTTTTTGTATCACTTGCCTGACTAATACGAGTGTCTGTATTCTGATTTGTTATTAATTAACAAAGTTGACGTTTTGCTGTTTTTGCGTCACTCACACTTCTATTGTCTGGTAGTTTACAACACAAGTGTGAAACTTGTTTTTCTATCATTGGCCTATTTTAACCATTTTATTTTTATAATAATATAAATATGCATGCATTATGTATATTGTTTATCGTTCCACTTTGCATAAATGGTCATATATTTATACCCTCAGCCATATGGCTACAGAGGGTATATATCATTTGATACGGTCAAAACGTGCCTAGTCGAAATAACGGTTTTAGACCCTAGGTCTCTTTGGACCAAATCCGTTTCAGAACATTTGGAGTCGATCTAGCGATGTCCGTCCGTCCGTCTGTCTGTCTGTCTGTCTGTCTGGCTGGCTGGTGCGCACGATAACTCTTGAAGGGAGTATCCGATTTGGTCCAAACTTGATACATCGTAATATTTTTGTCAAACTTAGATCGAGTTCGGAGATGGGCAATATCGGTCCACTCCTTCTGGTACCTCCCCCACAAAAGGTCGAAATTTTCAAAAAATTTATATTTTGCACAGAAAGAGAAGCGATAAACCGATTTTGCCCCAACTTTGCAAATCTTAATATTTGCGTCAGTGTTAGGTCAAGTGTGAAAATGGACAATATCGGTCCACTCCATCAAGTACCTCCCCCACAAATGGTCAAAATTTTGAATAATTACAACTCTCATAATATGTGATGTAAGAGTCCGATTGTCTTCAAATTTCACACATGCCAATATTTATGTGAGCCCAAGGTCTGGTGTTAAGATGGAATATATCGGTAAATTCCTTCTGGTACCTCCCCCACAAATGGTCGAAATTTTAACAAATATATATTTTTTGCACAGAAAGAGAAACGATAATCCGATTTTGCTCAAACTTTGCAAATCTCAATATTTGCGTAAGTGCTAGGTCAAGTGTAAAAATGGACAATATCGGTCC